AGTTTGGTTTTATAAACCATGTAATTCACTCAGCAAATCATGAATGTATCATATCACCCTCGATTTTGTAAGCACCAAAGGACTTACCTCTCACAAATTGGAAGGCTAATTCCTGCGCAACCTAATTTTCATACCCTTTACAAAAGTGAGCAGTGCTCAACCAAGCATGAATTATTTTCGGACTTTTTGGTGTCATATGAAAGTTAAGTTTATGAGCTTTCCATCCATATAAAACTTTTCCCCCAGAATCATATATTTTTTTATTCAGCAGCCATTTCAAAAGTGTATAGTTTTTGGGGGGGACGCACTGTAGTACAACTGTTTCTCAGCAGAATATTTTCAAGAATTCCACCTGGAATGTTTGCAGGGAGGTCACCTGAACACGTTGATACCAAACAAACTTTTACAATATCAAATGTCTCAAAACCCTCAAATTGGACATTTGCCCCAAAGGTAGCTGATGTAGCCTGTGATTATGCTCCTAATTAGTGATTTTCTCATTGATACTCACACAGCCCCTATCCTTTCATTTAATAATTCATCTCTAATATTTTTATTTTTACAAAACTGGTTTTTGTATTGTTCTACCAACGACAACATCCTCTCTGGTTCTTATTTCGTAATCAGTGTAGCGATTCTTTCTCGCTCGCTCGCTCTCTGTCTGTCTCTCTCTCTCTATCTCTCTCCCTCTCTCTCCTTTTCCTCTCTTCTTCTCTTTTACCTTCAAACAGTTGAATTCAATTTCACAGCAACCAACAGCAAAATAGGAATGAAAATAATTTTGAACGTTTTGCAAAAAAATGATAATATAATTCCAAAAGTCTTATTTGTAAAATAGAATGGAGTTTTGACCGATGCTAAGCACATAATGACCTGTAATATCACTACGAAATTAAAAACGTTAAGCCTACCATAATTATTTCTATGTACTATCTCTATTGAGTATACACCTATCAACTTCCCAACGGCATCTATATATTATCTCTCTGGTTCTCTCTCATTGTCTCTGTCTATCTGTCTCTCTTTCTATCTGCCTCCTCTCTTTCATTCTGTCTCTCCCCCTCTCCCCGTATACCTGTCTCCGTGTCTCTCTTGCTCTTCCGCCTATCGGAATCGCTCCCTCCCTCCTTCGAATTCCCTTTCGTCATCTCCCTCCCATCTCCCTTATCCTCTTATATTATTCTTCTTTATGTTCCACATACTAAGAATCTTGCTCTACGATTCGTCAAAAGTAAATCACGTGATGAAAGATGCACTGTGTAGATAGTACTACTATCTTCAGTGAAAGTGTGTTGCACTGTGTAGATAGTAATCTACACAGTGCAACGCACTTCAATATTGTATACGTTGCGTATACATACGCACGTAAGTACTGCATGCACTGTACGTATCGTACACCGTTTGCTAGCTGTTAATTGATGACTTGTTGCTTAAAATGACGGAAGAAGTGAAATGTTTCCTATGTGGAAAATAAAGTAAATAATCACATTTTGGTTTCAGGCGATGGCAAACTATCACATCCTCGGTGATCTGAATGTATACGCTATGTTTCCTCAGCTTCGCTTCGGAAAGATAGCTATATCCAGATCGCCTCGGGAGTGATAGGTTGTCCCATCACCTTCACCAACGGTAATTATTTGCTTATTATATCATTCATTATCTTGTCTTATTTTATTCGACCTTTTCTCTTTTTTAATACTCTTGTCTTCTTCTTCTTTTTCTTCTTTTTTTCTTTCTTTTTCTTTCTTTCTTTCTTTCTTTTCTTCGTCTCGTGGGTCTTCCTCCTATTGGCCATTTTCTTGTTCTTCTTTTTTCTCAGTTCATAAAAGAAAAATTAGCTTGCATTTGAATCGATCTTGATTATTTTCATGTTATTTTTTTCAATGATATAGTCATAACGATATAGTGAAGTCGTCAACCATAGTTTTTATGTTTTCATTTTAGCATTACAAGTTGTTTTTGAATAATTATTGATTCACATCACTATGGCATTTATTATTATTTGCTTGCGCTTTCTCATCACTGCATTTATCAGTTTATGATAACCTACTAATCCTAATTAAATTAAATAGAATTAAATTCGGTTTTCAACAATTATACTAAAATAGGTGTTCATGCCATGGCTCATTGATTGGATACTGATGATATGTGTATGTCGTGCACGATGTACATGTATTTCACTTCTGGTCGCCATGGCGTTCATTCTTCCTCATTTCGCTTCTATTTGTTACCGATGTGGAGAAATAATGGTTTAATTTAGGCAGGGTGGTGGTTTAGTGAGAGAGAAAGAAAATTCCCCCTTTTTAGGGGTATGGTATGTTTTCTTTTCTTTTCTTTCGAGGGGGGTGGGGGTAGATATAAGTAAAACCAATGAATCATTTTATTTGTGAGTGATAGTGGATTGAGTGGAAATGATTAAGAATTTGCACTGTTTGCCTAAATATGTAAGAGAATAATAAATTCCCCGGACATAATGTCGATGATCAGAGTAAATCGCTAGGTTGTATTTCTTAAAAGTGCATTGAATATACAGCCATGAACCCATAAACATATAAAATAAACTTTCGTTTGGAAAAAGTTCCTCTTTGCTAACCTTCGCTCTATATTATACTGCATAGCAATATTTGGTTTCAGAACATAATGCTCAACAATCACAATTAATTCTCTCTTTTGTCTAGGTGTGGCAAATTCATTTTACTCTCATCTCACTGTAAGCATCAGCAAATTCTTTCTGTCTCTCCCCTCTCTCTTTATGTCTGTCTCAGTGTCTCTCTAGCTCTTCCACCAACGAGTCCCTTCCTCCCGCCTTCGAATTCCCTCTTGTCATCTCCCTCCCATCTTCATGCTCTCCCACCTTCACCCTCGCTCTTTTATTCTTCATCTATATATCATTCATTATCTTGTCTTATTCCATTCAACCTTTTATGTTTTTAATACTTTTTATCTCCTCCTTTTTCTTTTTCTTCTTCTTCTTCTTCTTCTACTTCTTCTCCTACTTCTTCCTCTTGTTTTTCTACTTGTTCTTGTTCTTGTTCTTGTTCTTGTTCTTGTTCTTGTTCTTCTTGTTCTTGTTCTTCTTCAGTTCTTCTTCTACTTCTACTTTTACTTCTTCTTCTTTTTCTTCTTCTTCTCGTGTGTCTTTCTTTTAAAGGAGGCTATTTTATTCTTTCTTTCTTTCTTTCTCAGTTCCCTTTAATTCATGATTTTTGTCGCTCTTTGAAGCTCGCACCTGAATCGAGCTTCATCATTGTCATGTTGTTATTTTTTTTTTTTTTACTTGAATGATATAGTGACAGCGTCAACTATGGAGGTAATTTTCTGTTCCCCCCCTCCCTCTTTTATTGTTGTTGCATTGTTTAGCATTGCATATAATTGGCCTCGAATGGCGGAATGTTTTTGAATAATTGATACACATCACTATGCCTACATTATTATTTGCATGCGCTTTCTCATCAATTGTAGAGGTGTTCATGCCATGGCTCATCGAATGGATGATGATATGTGTATGTCGTGCACGATGTATCGCACTCCTGATCTCCATGGTGATCATTCTGCTCATCTCATTTTTATTTGTTACCAATGTTGAGAAATAAGTTTCATTTTTGGGGATAGTTTCATGTCTTTCTTTGTGTCTTTCGGGGGATAGTGTACGATATTAGATTCAGTGGAAATCATTAAAAACCCTATACTTTGACGGTTCTGACTGTTCTCCATAGACTGGCTTACTAGACCATATTCGAATTGTATGCATACTTTCTCTACGACCCCGCGCTTGCCCAAGGCTTGCCTGATAGAGGAACAAGTAATATATGCGGACTGGATTTCGAGTAGTGTAGTTTACTCATTAATAACAGGTTAATGTCACTAGGTCGCCAAGAAAGACAAATATGTTGGTAAATTGGTCTATTACCACTGAAATATAACGTGTTAGAGTTCAGTGTCTTATACATATAGGTACACAATTTGGCGGGGGGGGGGGGGGGGAGGCGAATTCATGGTGTGGGCATGTGTGCACGCCGTCAAAGGTTAAATATTAAAAACATAGGGGTTTATAGTGGAATGGGTGGGTATTTCCAAATTTTAGTCAGGGCACTGACCTCATCTATATCCAAATTTATATTTCCTCTCAATTAGACCTCTTAAAGATAAAGTTGAGTTCTGGTCATGCGATTGCATTGTGGAAGAAACAATGTGGAATCGATCAGAAAAGGTTGATCATCTATCATATAAGTATTGTTGTGTACTGCAAGGTTCTGGAATCATCAAAATGATAAGAAATTTGGCCTAGTCTTGCTAAGTTACAAGCACTGTACACAGAAAGAAATATATGGGATTACATGAACATGTGGCATGTTACATGCCATATTTAGAATATTAAGGCATTTGAAGTGCCATGCTTTTCAGGGAACATTTTTTATCCGATGTTCTTCCACACTTGCATAATACAATTAAAATGCTCACAAATTATTTTCACCTCTTCCCAGAACTCAACCTTCTCTTTAATACGTCAAAAAACACTACTGTGACAGCCAGACACAAAAGAACAATACAATACATGCATTAGTCCTATTTACTTTATAATATCAATCTTTTAATAGAAATATACCATGATACTCTTTGGACTTTGGATATAAAACAGTTATTTTATTATTTCAGTTATTCAGGGAGTTGACAGGGAGTTATGTACACAATGTAATAATGCATATAACAAAATTGCTAAGTAATCGTATCCTCATTTTTCACTTTGTCCGCAAATATCACGTTGAAGCATTTCCAACATATTGCAGAGATAGCTAGTCTGTTGTGCTTAAATTTCAGTGAATGACTGTTGTACAAATTATCAAAACCATGGTTACATTGTAGCCTTCAGCTTCTAAAAATAAATTTGATATAGACATTCAGAAGTCAGATTCTGCTTGAATTTTTTTAATTTTTTTTTAAAAATTTAATTATTTCCAATCTTTTGTCAGGAAAGCCCATTCACCAATAAGTAGTGGTCTTTCATGGGGCCCTGAGTAAACATGAACATATTTACAAAAAAAATCATAACGTTTATACAGAATAGTTAAAATAAAATTCCATATAAACATTTGACAAATATATTGCAATCTAATATAGACATTATCACATCTTATCCATACATATTAGCGATTTGTGAAAATTTCACGAACTTATTTTGAAACTTTCATGAAGCTCGCCCTAGGAGCAAGGTGAGTGGATAGGATACATCAAGAATGGTATCGTCCGAGGATGAGCCAGGACTTGCTACAGCTGACATGACCCTGGATGGCAGGAAGGCGAGATGGGGATGGTGGTGAGAAGGGTAGAGAGGAAGAGAGGAGGAGGAGGGGAGGAAAAGAAATAGGAGAAAAGGGGAGGAAGCAAAAAACAGAAGACTAAGGATAAAAAACAAAAATTCAATCTAAAAAATTCAATCTATGACAGTCAATCTGGCAATGAAACAGTGAAATGGTAGATTAATTATGCTATCTTTGTTTAAAGAATGTTCATGCATGGGTATATAGGCTTAGTCGTTTGTGAAGTAGGTAACTTGGCGAACACCATTACGCTCCCGTGCGTACGTCCGTGTTCTGCCCTCTATATACCCATGCATGAGCAACTTTAAGACCTGAAACAATTGACCATACATTATCTCTATGTGCCCCCTCCCCATATACAGTTAACAACTAAAGCATTCATATCCTTACCAAGATTTGTCATTTTTATGTGGGCAATAAATTTGATTTGCCCCAATGTACGTTTCTTCAGAACGTGAGATACCAAAGCTTACATCTAAAAGTATTCAACAAATGCCCTAATTCAACCAGTCCGCCTTTCATTCGTAAGTTATGAAAAACACAAAGAACATCAGATTTACAAGGGGGATGAATAATTTAGTTGTTAACTTTATATGTATATACATTATTTTCTCAATTATACTAATGCTTGGTTCCCTTTTAACCTAAAGCCTATCTGCACTAGTTTGTCAAGGAGGGACTAGTCCTCCTTGCATGGTCACTGACAGGTGGTTATCTCATCAAATCAGCTCTCAATTAGCATATGACAAAGGGGATCATGGGGGACCAACGGGTTCGGCTTGGGCATTGTTTGCTATATAGAGGGCGCAAGTAGCTACAAGTAGTGCAGTCCCGCTTTAAAGGACCTACTTCTTATGGTACTCCTCAAGAATTTGACCAGATGGGTTAACTTCCAGGTACTTTGCATAGGCTGACCAGCTTCTGATATAACCAATGAGATGAGACACTGACCACTGCATTCTCATCTCCAATGTGTCATCCCTGTTTAAAAAAAAGTGAATAGAATTAACTACACAAGAATGTTAACATTATTTTCATTCCTGTTTGACAAAGAGAATCAATATGCAGCATTAGACTTTTAACGTTCATGTAACCCCTAGATCATAAAGTGAATTAAAGGAAACCTCATCCCCAAGAATAAGTGTATGTATTCTGAAATTGACAATGACAATTTATTCACTTTCCCCCTTAAAGTAGAGGTGCATTGATTTTAAATATTCATTTAATTTGTATTATTGTATAAGGGTATGTTAGATAGGACAAGTTAATCAAAATTTACTGCCTGGAAATATATTTAAAGTTTTTCCCACAATTTACCTCACAAAGTCTGGAAAAGGTATCTCATAACCTGGTAGTTTATTTTCAACAAGTTTTCTCTTCTCATTCCAGAAGGGACCAAGCTCTTTGTTGTAAATCTAGGGGGAACAAAGACAATATAAATATATATGTATATACAATAGTTGGTCATATACAGCCGGGGGCAGGATATAGAAGGTTGTTACCCCCTCCCCTTCTTATTTTGTGCAGAGTGCATTGTACATGTATGTTTCTGACCATTATGATTGCCAGCTCCCCCCCCCCCCCCCCCCAATCCTAGAACAGTTTGTCCATATTGCAAATAATAAGGAATATTGCAGTCCCTAACTCATTCAAGTTTCTTTTAAATAGCATATTTTGACAGGGTATCAGTTTGGGGCTGTTACCCCAGCCCGTTACCTCTGAATAATGATAAGATCATCTATGTATCCGACACATGTAAATCTGGGCCCTGTCTCATAAAATTGTTATCAATAACGAGATACAATGACTGGTGTAAGGTACGGAAGTTGTGGCATTTGATTGGCTGAGAGTCAATTTGTCATAGAAATTTAGCATTAATGATAACAAGTTTTATAAAACGGGGCCCTTGTATACACCCTCCATCCCTCAGCACTCCCACTTCCTCCCATCTCGGCAATCTGATCAATGCCCCTGCATACAAAATACAAAATACACCCACCTCATCAAAGTATTCTTCCAGTTTATTCCTGATATCATCATTTTTGTGGTCCAAGGAAATGTTTGCATAGCCGACAATGGCTAGGCATCCATTTGGCTTCAAGACTCGTCTACATTCATTACAGAAGGCCTGGAAATTCAGCCAATGAACTGCCTGGGAACATGTGATGAGGTCCACAGAGCGGTCTTCAAGGGGTAGAGTTTCGGCTGGTGAAACTCTGAAAAATAAAGTCAGGGTGATAAAATGCAGGGCAATTTAATAACAATTATCTCATCGAATCATATTCAAATTGAGAGCAAAGCACATTTATGGAAGATAGGCATTGTCAAAAGTATGTGAGAAAAGTTTAAAGTAACAGACAATCTAGTCAATATCTCTGATGGGGCATTACGAAACCTGACATGAAGAAAAACACTGTTGGTCATGATTTGACCAAGAAATCATTATAAACACGAGCTTAAGTCAAACGTCCATAATATCCTGAAACAATATACCGTATGTCTTCATTAGACAAACTGCGAAGCATTTAAACTCTCAAACACAAGAACTCTGCAGTTAAAATAGAAGACTTACTTGAATTCAACATTGGGGGCAGTATTTGCCTTTGTTGCTGCCTCCACCTGTGCCTTGCTTATGTCAAACCCAATTGCCTGTTCAAATTGTGAGCTCAAGCCATAGGTCCCCTGGCCAGATCCACAACCAACGTCTACGAGCAGCTGGTGAGGAGGTGGTCTCTAGGAGCAAATGAAAACGCGAGAAAGTGTAATTTTTTATTCATTTGGACGCCTGAATCAACGAGCTAAAACAAGCTTTCTAAAGGTGTTCCCTTTTCCTGCTAATCATTTTCACAGTTCATTTAAATTAACTTAACATAATGTGCATGATTTGTATATTTTGAACTGTCTGTACTTATATATAACATGTATATCTTTGTTTGTTTTTTGATGGAAATAAAGTCTTTTGAATTGAATTGAATTGAAGATCATAATTATAGTACAGTAGTATCTTTGCTGCTGCACAAATAATACAGAATTCTAGTTGAAACCCCAATATACATATAATTATGCCCAAAGGGCAGCTGCATGTGGTATGCTTTTTTCCCCCTTTGAAATTATCATTAAACTACTACCAAAATAAATTCCAAATAAACATTGGATTTGGCTGTTTTACATTCTACAAGCATTCTCACCTTTTCACTCAAGAAGGACATAATCTTGTGAAATAATTCTGCTGGATAGGTAGGCCTAAATTTGATGTAGTCATCGACCTGCTTAACCCCCTCAAATAACCTGTACGACATGGTGGATGAATCAATATCCAACTGCAGAACGAAAAGAACAAAGGAAAAAGAAAGTGTAAAAATACATTCACAATCAAATTTCACATGAAACGATTAGAATGGTCGATCTTTATTAACTTTTGCAGGCATGAAAATCAGAATAAGCTGATTGTGCTGTGGACAAAGGTGTCAAAATCTGGAAATCCTAATCCTAACAACAGAAGGTCTAGGGGAGTTGCACAACTTTTTCTATTGGGGCTTTAACCTTGCACATGTATAACGCCTCATACCAAAATCAAATTAGATCAAAATCCTTGTAAACTCTCCTGATTTGTTTTCATATACACACGCACACAACAAAAATCTGTTCCTACTCCATATAAATGATGTCCATGACCATGATGGCATGAGAATGTCACAAGTACCACTAAACTATTTGCAAATGATCAAATCTACAGACAGCAAAGTTGCTCTCTAGAAGTAGATCTAGGCCTAGAAGGATCTTGACGCAATGGTGCCATGGTCACATCAATGGGGCATGCAATTCAGAGTTAAGATAATAGATAGTAAGAATAAGAATAGCTTGTGTGGGATGGGCAGATGGGACTCTTGGTATTGGGAGTCTCCCAAATCGGATTTGCAATTGCGCCTACCTCAAGTCCAAATTAGAAACAACATTTTATCTAGGACTAACATTGAATTTTGAAATAATGTTGACAAAACTTGTTTAGCAGAGCCCCCAGGAATAAAAGTAAGACTATCCAAGTTTAGCGTACCGCCTACCTAGTACCTACCCCCCCCCCCCCCCCCCCCCCCCTCCAAACCCCTTGCAGTGCATCGTAACTACACAATACATAAACGTAGGTACATGGGACCAGTCTCAAAATGAGTTGGTCTTCGTTAATTCTTGTTTACAATATTTAAAGTCGATAAACCACAACGAGAACCTTTAACTTACAGAATAGAATAAAATATGGGAAATTGTTTGTACTCCCAAAATACGAACCTTTACAGCTAACGGAATTGCAGAAAATCGAAGTTTAGTGGTTTGCAGTGGTGTATTGACCACCCGAGCTAGTTCAGAAAGTTAGTCTTGAAATAAAGACCTTATAGTTTTGAATCCAATGGTCCAAACAATAGAAAATTGACCATGTGTTTTATTTAAATCACCAATCCATTTAATATTTTCTTAATTCACTAAAGAATTAATTTAAAGAAGGCATTTTAAATCATAGTACTATTCATCATGGCTCATACATAGATTTGTCGTTGGAGTGTCCGAATTTAGACAACTACTAATTAGGGGAATACCCAACTTCTGAATAAGTCCACTAGCTGCATGTTATATTCCCGCGCAGAGGATTCATTCGTATTCGTCTGATTTGAGGAGAATATGAGAATCGTGACATTTCCCCCTTCTTTTCACCCTTTTCAGACACATGAGGAGGTTTGATGCAGACGACTAGGCTGATTATCACTTGGGTTAGTAATTCAAGATCGAGACTTGCAATTCTTACATCTAGATTCTCCTAAACGGGAATTGCCTCATAGAAGTTTATAACACTTTTAAAAGTATAATAAATATATATTTTTATGTAGATCCACTACTGAAGAAGCCTTCATTAGATCCAGAATGTCTCCAGAACTATCGTCCAGTCTCGAATCTACCTTACTTGTCGAAACTTCTGGAGCGGGTAGCCTTCTCTAGATTGTATGATTACCTACAGGAGAATGATCTACTTGACAATCACCAGTCAGCTTACCGTGCAAATCACAGTGTTGAGACCCTGCTCGTCAACCTGACCAACAACATCCTGACAGAAATGGATGTTGGTAGGATCACAGCAGTCGTGTTATTAGACCTGTCGGCAGCATTTGATACTGTGGACCATCGTATTCTTGTCAATGTATTGTCATCAATTGGAATTCGTGACCACGCACTTGAAGGGTTCATGTCCTAATTGGATGAACGGCAGCAATTGGTATGTGTAAATCATGAAAGATCTGATCCTGTCAAGCTCAGTTGTGGCGTCCCGCAGGGGTCAGTCGGGGGGCCGTTGCTGTTTTCCTTGTACATCACTAGGCTCAAGCAAGTTTTACAGCAGCATGATGTCAAGTATCACTGCTATGCAGATGACATCCAGATCTACGCATCGTTCCTTCCCAATCAAAATGACGCAAGTCGGACTGTCAAACTACTCGAAGCTTGCGTCAAAGATGTGCAAACTTGGATGAACTCGAACTCACTCAAACTGAATGACAGTAAAACTGAACTAATTTTATTGGGTTCCAAATCAAATCTTGCTAAGATACAGTCGTTCAATATATCCATATCAGATTCTGTAATTAGTCCTTCCTCGCAATGTCGTAACCTTGGTGTCATGTTAAACTCGTCTATGTCATTGTCAACTCATGTTTCTAGTATTTGTAAGTCAGTAAGATATCAACTAAGAAATCTAGGTTTTATTAGGAAATACTTAAGTCGTTCAACCACAGAGAAACTTGTACATGCTCTTATTTCATCACGCTTAGATTTCTGTAATTCTATTCTCTATCTACTCCCTAACACACAACTTTCTCGACTTCAGAAACTGCAAAATACTGCTGCACGTATTGTCACACTTTCTTCTCGTAGAACCCACATCACCCCCATTCTCAAAACTCTTCACTGGCTCCCGGTATGTGACCGAATCATTTTTAAGTTGTTGTTGTTAGTTTTCCATTCATTGTATGACTCTGCTCCTTCCTACAATATCAAGTTGATTGTTAAGTATAAGCCTACAAGACGTCTTCGTTCATCTCAATCCTCCTTATTAGTTGTCCCTAAGACGCGCAGTTCCTGGGGGGATAGAGCTTTTTCTCATTCTGGTCCGTCCCTTTGGAATAAGCTGCCACTCAGTATTCGTAATTTAACTACCCTTCATGCCTTCAAAGTTGCTCTAAAAACCCATCTCTTTCTAAACAGTGCTATTTAATCATGTCAATGTAGCGTAATAATTTGTGTTGTTTTAGTTTACTTTATTTTAGTTAAGAATGTTATATTTTTGTGATAGTAATACATGTATGTACAGCGCCATGAGCGTCAGAGCTTGGCGGATACCGGCGCTATATAAATATCCATATTATTAATATGTCTATGTATTATGAATTGCGAAAATTCATATTCCTAACATACACAAGAACTGGGGTAAAATGGGAAAAAGTGTCCAAGCCGCCGCCCCCTCCCCCTATATGGAAAGGACCCCAAAAGTCCCCCCTTTTACATAGGAAAGGTGCCTCCTTCACTTCAGATAATTGCCCTTTTCATTTCTAATAGGTACCTGTTCCACATTCGTATAAATGCCCCTTACCACCTCTGATAAGTGCCCCCTTCACTGAATGATGATAATTGCCCAAATTATAAATCTGAGAGGTGCCCATTTTACTTTAACAAGTGCCTTTTTCATTTGTAATTAGTGCCCCTTCCTCTTTTGATAAGTGCCCCTTTCCATATTTGATGAGTGCCCCTTCTCACCTCTCATAATGCCCTTATGTAGACGTGTGCCCCCTGTCTTTCTAATAAGTGCCATTTTCCCTTGTGATAGATGCCCCTTTTCCTTTTTAAGTAGTGCTACTTTCCATTCTCACGAGTGCCACTATTCATTTCAGATGAGTGCCCCTTTTCAGGCACAAAAAAATGCACCTTTTCATCTTTGATCAGTGCCACTTTTTATTTTGACACGTGCCCCTATCCTTATTTCTAATTAGTGCCATTTTCCTTATAACAATTGCCCCATTTTCCTTTGAAACAAGTGCCCCTTTTCCGTTCTCATTAGTGCCTTTCTCATCCCTGGTGAGTGCCCCCTACCAGGTGCGAGTAGTGCCCCATTTTCACCTCTGATGATTCTGATTTTCACTTTGATACGTTTTCTAATAAGTGTCCTTTTAACTTTGGATATGTGTGTCGACTGTCGATCCTTTTAACTTTGGATATGTCTGCTCTTTTTCTTTCACCATAATATGTGCGCCTAATTTAAAGAGACTAAAAGCACATTCTTTTTAATGATTTCACCCAAAGATCTTTCACTCGCATTTTTATAAATTGCATTTTTTTTTTAAAGGTACTATAAAGTTTTGGTATGGGGTCATGAATTTGGTTCAAATGAACGTATTTGAAGCATATGCAGTCTGACAATATACAATGATCGTTGTCGCGGTGGAAATCGAGTCTAAAGTTATGAAATTGTAAATAATAAACTGTAGCTGTATAATAAACTGTATAGCTCCCTCTCAAGGTCAAGAGATTAATTAAACAAACAATGTTGCTTGACTAAAATCGACCGATTAGATATTCCCGTTTGGAAATTACATATTACAACTACATATTCTGAGAATTTCATGGTCGCAGCTACCATTGTACGGCCGTAAGCGCTATTTGAGATCTATCAAAATTTACCAGGAGCACCGGTAAATTGTTATATTCAATTTTTCTCGAAAACAGAAGTGTTTCAGGGGCTACATTTTCAAGTGTTTATAAATACATCCACAGGGGCATCCAAATAAATCAAAATTGTAAAGAATCACTATCCACCCAATTGTAAAAATTCCCCAAAACTTTGTATGACCTTTAATTATTATTTTTATGACACTATTTCAAAATTACAAAAAATTCGACCTTGCCAGGACTCGAACCTGGAATCCCCTGATTCGTAGTCAGATGCCTTATCCATTGGGCCACAAGGCCGCCCTGCCACTATGGGAAACCTCAATGTTATTATTTTTCCTTTTTTTTTAATTAGGTGGTCTGTTGAAAACAGATCACCTATTGTTTTCGTCAGAATTTTCTTTATTATTATTATTATTCTTTATTTTTATTTATTTCCTACACTTTTTTGTGCCTAGGATAACTCAAGTTCGGTTTCGTCAATTTCATTCAATTTTGGCACAGTCATAGGTCATTGTCATGAGACGTGACAGGAACATTTTCAAGGTCATCAAGTCATCGTGACGTCATCCAGGCGCCATTTTGTGAAATCCCATTATCCATCATATCTTCATGATGCATAGGCAAAGGTCATTCATATCCATATCACATATATTTCAGGTCAAGGGTCTAAAGGTCATGTCATCAAAGGTCACATAAAGGTCACGACGCGCGCGTACGTGCGCGTCAAAATTTAAAAATGCTCAAAATCACTTAACTATCAAAGTAGAGTACGAATCAGGTCATTTTAAGCATTTCAAAATTTTCCGTCCGTAAGTGTCCACGCGCGCGTTGCGCGCGCTCACAACGCGCGGAAAAGGTCAAATTCCTTTTTTTTTACATGATTTAGATTCCTCTTACCGTAAATGACAACTTACATTAATTTCAGTCACTCTTGACCTTTCATAAGGCCGTGAGCGCGCGTCAAAGTTCAAAATCCGCGCGTACTGCTATGGGCAATATAATGCAAATTTGATCAAAAACATTCCATTTTAAAAATCAAAATAGCTCTTCAGATAGTCAATTGACCCCAACTTTTATATCATGGTTGGAAAAAGCATGAGTTGGAGATATGATTTCATGTCTCATTTGACCCTCAATTAACTCATGACGTCATCATAATGGCCTCCAAACTCATAATTTCAATTTGCATATTATGCCGTCAGAATATTTTTGGAAAATTGATTGTATCTTTGTAAATGTTGATCAATTTTCTTCCAAATTTTGATATGTTCTACCCGAGAATATTCTCTACAAATGCGGTTATCACGATTGTTCATTTTGACAAAGGTATCATGGCGTATTTTTGCGATTAAAGGAGGCATGTCAATTTTTCACTTTTTGCGTGTATTCTCTATGGGACATGACTTTTTCTCAAAACTGGATTCTACATTCTCGTCTTTCGCGAGCAATATCTCCGTCGTTTTATTTTTGTTAAGGCTGAGCTTTGAGTATGTTGTAGCTGAGACAATAAGCTATCACAAGTGTGCCCTTTATTTTTCGATCAGATGCCGGGATCATGCTCATATTTCACTTACAAAGTGGGATTAGAGAATTCCATTTTCCGTTTACGTGTAATCTCTATGTGAAATGTTTTGGTATATCGGTAACGCACTTGACTTCCGACCTCGAGGTCCCTGG